AAAAAAAAAAGACTTGATCGTTGAGATAAGCCGCATAGCGTCCGCTACCTCTATCCATTGCGGTCTCTGAAGATGGAGTTTATAGGGGAATTCCAAACTTCAGGTGAATAGACTTCCTGCTCCAGCGATCGCGCCTCTTAAGATATGCAGGCCCTTCTTCTAGTATTTTCTCTCTTATTTCTGACTTTAAATTATTAGCCATTTACTTAAAGAGAGTGTTGGCTCCTATCAACGGACTAACTGTGGTTAACCGGATTAACGGTGGTTATGCATGCAACCTTCTTCTGTTCAGAATATGGCTTGAAAAAGCGACTGACCCGATCTATCGGCTGCCCCTTTTCGCCTTCTAGGTATTAATTGCGCTACACGTAATTAACATCTTCCCCTGTTACTCTTGAAGTCACGAAGCTAAACGAATAAAATCCTACCGAACACGGAAAATCCGAGCTGGCTGGAACCTTTCTGTTGATTGGTTCTGTGGTCAGAAGTTGCGTGCTAGGATAGAAGAAAAATCCTGCATAACTAAGTCGATTCGAATCGTTGGTCTTACATTGTCTGCTTTATCCGTTAACTTTCCAATTCCTAAACGACGTTTTATACCTCATTGGCCGGTACACTCAGTCTGTCCGTATTTTTTTCACTTAAAGTGCATACTTGAGCTGTCGACCTATTAAGCAAAATATCAGATTAAAGAACTTTTTCCAAGAGGTGTCTGTAGTACCTGTTTTGTTGTGTCTCTCTTGACCAACATTTTTCAGTCATTGAATGCCTTTGAAAATTTCCATGTTTAATGAGTTAATCTCTCTGACGTGATAACAATATGTAGGAAGTAGAAAGAGGGGTCTTTTGGTTCACAACTTCCTCACTATAATGAAATTGGCTCTTTTTCAGCCTGTCACAACGCGCTTGGAAGGTTACCAGTCGAAGAAATGACTCAATCCTCAGGATTGGGTAACCGAAAGTCGTCATACCAATCTCTTTTAACTTAACCTGCATCCCTTCTAGTTTTTTTGTCGGTACACTACCCTGACAACACCAGCCACGTCTAGCCACGCCTCGCCACGCGTGGCGCGACGGCGCGA